CTCTGAGTTGGCAGTGCAACTCCTCACCACTAGGCCACCAGAGACTATCATCTATCCTAGCCACTTAGTGAGGTTATCATGACTGCCACTGAAAATTTTTTCACAGCTTTACAACCAAAATACCAAACCAAATCTCTTATTATGGAATTAATTTCAATTCCTGGTGATCTTGCAGGACAGGAGGACATGACAGAAGTGTTCCTTAAGGTTCCCAACATTGCAAATCTTTGATAAAGCCTACACTGCTGTATCTTTCTCCTGCTAAGCAGCTGTTTGGTTTGAACTTCCAACTTTTGGTAGGATCCACAGATTTACTGCCTGTAGTATGAGGGCTTTCATCTAATGCAAATTAGATTAATAACTGCGAGAGTCATGCTTTCCATGACCTTGGAAAGTTCCTATCATACTATGCCCCATGCATTAAAAAGTAATCATGCCTAAATTAGCATCTATCATGGATTAATGACTGCGGGCATAAAAAGAGAAAGCTGCTTATTTCAAAGAAGTCATAATCAACAAGCAAAACTTGAACTTTACTTTGATCTTCAGTAATTTTCCTATCTCAAATGTCCTTTATTCCATCTTTTGAACTGAGAAGTAAATTTGAACCACAGAATATTCCTCCAGAAGATCTTAAATAATCCATATATGATCCTGACTTTTAAAAACTGGAAGATTTAAATATTATTAAATAAAAGGGCATTTTGGCATATTTTATGTAATCAAATTATTCAAACTGAAGAAATAAAATATTTTTAAAACTCTTATAACATTTTTTTTCATTTGCATTTATTTAAACATAAATTTAGCCATCTGCCTCAAAGCTGGATTCATTTCAAACTAGTTTTCACAATTAAAGTACTCTAAAGAGACAACTCAATGGCTCTAATCAATTTTAATTGGCTATAAAATATCACTGAACTATTCATAATGCATGAAAAGGCAATTTAAGAAAATCTACTTAACAATTACAGAAAAACTATTTGGATGGGACTTGTAGATACCTCCTTACAAGGAAGGCATCCACCGTCTGTTTTGGGTAACTGCAGACTTATAAATTATTAGATAACTTCCTCATGTCTTAGCACTTTTTACTTCTTATACAGAAAGAAAAATTACAAATTGAGTTGGTTTCCCTAGTCCTATAACAGGACTAGTTGTACAGTCCCTAGGGAATGAACTTCAGTGGTAACCCAATGACTGTGCCTCTCTGGAGGTTCAAATCTACTAGTAGCTCAGAAAGAGAAAGAAGAGAAATTTCCTACCCAATTTACAGTCTCAGAAATCCACTGGCAGCGACACGTATGAGTCAGTTTCCTCTCCTCACAATGAACAGCTCTAGTATTTAAAGTGTAATGTAGGCTTCATTCAAGCTTCTCTGGCCAATGTTCTAGGCATTTGTAATGTGGGGTACCTCATCCTGTTTTGTGTATTTTTTCAGATGTAATGTATTATGGTCACCACT